AGTTAATTACTGAAGTTAACTGGATGATCCGGGCATGTTAAGGATTATTGTGAATTATTATTATTAATCCTTGTGTCATCCTTAAATTCTGCATCCTTTCCACACCTTCCTGAAGAAAAATGTACACACACAAAATCTACCATAAAATCCTCATATAGCAATATTTTTTCTACAAACGCTCACACACAGACACACACATCCTCTCTCAATCCATCCATCTGTTTCTCTCAAACACACACGTATTCAAAGCCCATCAAATTTGTTCATACTTCACAGGTTCTGTTACTGAAGTTATCAGTGTTGTTGTGGTTTGCACAATAAATGTTTCCAAATCACTCTCGGGGCTCCCTGGTGCTCACACGGCTCCGTAATATGACTGGCAAAAATACAAGAATGTCATACATTGGCCCACCGGGGGAAATGGTTGAAACTGGTGGAACACAGTAAAAATGTCAAATATCACCATAGAAGTGAATGGAGCATTTTTGTCCAGAAATGTGAGGAGAGCACTAGACAAAAAAAATAGGAATGCAACCAAATTAATTGTGTTGCTCATCTTTGACATGTCCAAGACTCTAGTCACCACCAAACTATTTATTATATAGAAAATATTTCGGATTTTGTGAGTTTTTTCAATAAAATACTAACAATTCAAATGCTTAAACTGGCATTTAAATGGTTACAATCCTGAAAATAATTGAATGTTTGATCACTTTGAAAAGGGCTCAGTTTAATTGATTTGTTGTATGAGGGTTTATGGCACATTTTGCTCGTGTACATTGTTGAACACGCCAAATGAAAAACACAGGCCGGTGAGGCACAGAAGGCACACATGTTAACTCATTTAAACCCTACACTGTAACCTTCTACGTAACCTGACGTGCACCTCCACAGAAATGTAGCTACACGTCGGGTCACAGCACACAAAAATGACGTGCGTGGAAGGTTGCGGTTGCACGTCCTGGTGCGAACCACACAGCGGTTTTTCTACACTACTTCTGCAAAAATAACTGACCCGTTTGCGGCCTTTCCAGAACATGAGTTGTGGTAATTGTTTTAAACAATTGACCCTAATGACCATGTCGGTTTTACAACTATTAACCTTTACACCACTGATTCATTAAGTCCCCATTTAAGTCTTTACAGCACATCAAATAGAAAACTAACGTTTACTGCGCAGCGCCGTTAAGCCACGCCTGTTTGCACAACTTAGAAGCAGTGGCGGAGCGGGCAGGGGGGGGTGGCTTACTGGGCTTAAGCCCGGGTTGTTTTTCAGAAGCCCGGGGTCTTTTGGAGTGTAATTTTTTCATAGTTAGATGCCTGGTTGACAACTGTATAAAACAAAAACTACACACACTATTCGAAGCACATAGTGCACACTGTGGGAATTTACGACTGTGCGTAAATCCCCCCTAATATTGGTATGATCCGAGCTCAGACACTAAGCG